GCTAGGAAGTGGAAATTTTAACGAGGAACCCTATATCTGTGCGTGATCTCACGAACTCAAGTCCAGTATCCGCGTACCCCTAGGTCTCGCATACGGTAACGTGAAGTTTTGACAACTCGGGAAGTATAAAAGGTGGAAGTTGAAATTTTATGACAATTTTCCTTACTCGCGTATTACCCCAGGTCTCGCGTACGGACACGTGAAGGTTTTTGCGCGAAAATTGTTAACTGGGAAGCCGAAAAAGCTGAAAATTTTGGTGAATGTCCGCTGCCCGAGTATGACTCTGCAAACTCAAATTTAGCTTCCTCGCGTGCCTAGATCTCACGGAATGACACGTAAGATTTTTAGCGTTAAAATTAATAACTCAGGAACCGGGAATGCTAGGAAGCTGAAATTTCTAAATAATACTCCTGCTCGTGTACAGGTTTGTCCCTTATGCACAATATCTCAAGTATATGTCACCAAAATTTTGGCGCCAAAACTAATAACTCGGGGACCACAAAAGTTAGGGAACTAAAATTTTAGAATAGTGCGTCCTGCCCATCTATAAATTCATTTCCCGTGCACGTAGAGATCTCATATACAGATAATTGAAAACTTTGGACAAAATTAGTAACTCGGGAACTACAAAAACTACAAGGCTGAAATTTTAGAAGAATATTCCATATCCTCGTATGACCCTATAAATTTAAAAACATCCTTGTTGCGGTTTCATGTTTTGGCGCAAAAATTATTAACTGGGAAATCATAAAAACTAGAGATTTGAAATTTCTGAATAATGCTCTCTGCCTATTTATGAATTGGTCCCCACGCTTACCTAGTCCTCACGGGAAGAAACTTGTAAGTTCTGGCGCCAAAATTAATAATTCGGGGATTACAAAAATTTCTCTGCGTATCAGGCTGTAGTGCAGTGGACACTTTTAACAGCAAGGTTCCCCTGGAGAGTTGCACAAGCGTTAGCTGGACTGGGTTGTACAAAACGCATGATCGTATCGGTTACTCTGGCGTGAAGTTATTATTAATGTTTTTGTTTCAAATTTTAGTTCTACAACAGCTTAGGGGGATTCTCTTGCAAGTTTGAAGAGTAATTTCCTAGAGAGCCATATGATATCACTTGAGTTCTTTTCAGAAAATTCATTTCTCACACTGAGTCTCTCAACTTTCTCTGTTGAATTTCCTTCATTAGAATCTTTTTCCTCTGGCAAGTTATTGATTTTATAGTGGAATTGCGACGCATAATGCGATTATAAATTTTGGCTATGCCTGAGTAAAGAACGTAATGTAGGATTGGCACCGTTTCAAATGTTGGCGTCGAGCGGACAGTAGAAAACGGATAGATTAGTTGCCCGCGGTTTCTTGATGTTCCCGTAATCTCATTTGTTCTCAAAAATAACGGAGCAATGATCTTGAAAAAACCTGATATGTTATTTGAATTTAAAACCCGTTTCTGACAAAACAAGAGGTCGGACAGGTACATCGACGAATATTTTAAGAATAAGAAAATGTGTAAGATAGCTTTTGGTAGCATTTAATGAGTGGAATTAGCAGTATTTTTGTACTAAAAATTGTAACCGTGGGAGCAACAAAATAGTGAAGAATATTGAGTACATTATTTCTGTGTTGTCACTTTCTTATTCTAGCATGCAACTTTGATTTTCACAGAAAATAAAGATTTTCATCAGATGGAAGTTCCATCTTGTGAAATCAGCAATTTCGTGCGTGCGTCCTACAAACAGATTTTAATATGTTTTTGGAACTAAAAAAAAAATTTATGAATGTGTTTTAATTGGAATACTCGATTCATCTGTAGGTGCACTGGCAACTTCTGTAGTTGCTTTAGTCGCTCGTTTTTTAAAAGAATTTACCAGCCCAGACATTCTTCGAAAGAAAGCATTGGCAAGGCCGTAGCGGGTTTCCTGGTGTCTCTGGTGTATATTAAGCATCAGAACTTCGTTCCAAACACTGGCACTCCTAGACTACAGTGAGGTCCCATGTTTACAAAAGGACACTTTATCGAGATGCTGTTTATTCTTGAGTGAGAACTAATTCATAGTCTGGTCCTGTCTGTTTTTCATCGGATTGTTATCGCTGCTAAATAATATACGTATATATATATATATATATATATATATATATTATTTAGCAGCGAATATATATAT